TTTAACGGTATTTTTACGCCACGTGCAAGTATTATTTCATCTTCGTGCGTGCACACGCGTCCGCGCGCGCGTGTCTATCCGTGTGTGTGTGTATGAGTGTGAGTGTAAGTGCGAGTGTGTGTGTAAATAGTTTTAAGCGATAATGTATATTAATGACAAAGATTTTTTTCTTGAAATCCTGCTTAAATGTTTAAATTTAATCTGATATCTGTCAATTCCAAATATAATACGCTCTAATGGAGATACTGTAATGTAAATTCCACTGAAAGTTTTATCGCATCAGGTGAAAAAATTTTGTACATTTTTATATTTTCGAATATTTTCTCTGCCAATGGACGTCTAAAAAGTTTTTTCTATGTTTTACTTTCTATTCTTATCATGATTCGACGGTGCTGGCTCACTGTTACCAAAACAAATAAAGTTACTAATATCCCACGAGAGAGATTTATCAAAATTATGTCGTAAAATGATAACGATAAATCGTCAATGAGAACACATTGACAAATTGTTCTTATATCGAATTATTCTCATATATGTATGTACGATAAAGACACACTATGAAGGCAAGAGCACCTTGGTGAAAACGAAGTATAAAAAAATATACACATATATAATGAAAAAATACCCAAATAACTTATTTCATTCGTTATATGTCAGACTCGCAGAGAGATCTATAAAAGAAATTTCATTATTTATCAATAGACGTTAAATAAGAGTTGCTAATTTTTATAAATATCGAATCGAATTTTGCAAAATCCTAACGCTTTTTAAAAATTGCATTCTTCTTGAACATAATAGGTGTAAGTGTAACACATCGAAGACAATATCAAAGATATTTAAAAGCTACAGTACATCATGGTTTTTTTCTACTGGAAAACATTCTACATTTAGATAATGTAATTAAACGCCATATAATATATATATATATATATATAATTTTTCATCGTAGAATTTTATAGTAACATTTATTATTAACATAGTAACATATGAGATGTGCTACAATTGGACATTGCGCAATATATATACACACACACAGTGTCCCATTTTAATTGTCCTAGATAAATATCTCGAAAAATACATAAGGATACGGAAAAATATGTTTCGGTTGAAAGTGATTTTAAGGGGTAGTGACGTATTTTTTTAAATGGAATGGCCTCCACTTTTTTAAATGGAATTATTTTTTACATGATATTTCTTTAATTATTTTGCATATAAAAGTATTAACGTACGATTGTAAAAAAATTAATAGTTTACGAGATATTTAATATTTCATGTCAATATGTGAATAAAATATAAAATATCTTGTAAAAAACTATTAGTTTTTTTATATCTCTATCTTAATATTTTTATATGCAGAATAATTAGAGGAATCATATTATGCAAAACAAATCGTACAATTTCATTTAAAAAAGTGAAGGTGATCTTTATATTTTTTTGGTGTCAGAAAAAAAAACGTGATTAAAATTTCCCTCGAAATCTTTCATCTGAAATATTCTTGAGGCTTTCATCTGAAACATTTTTCTGTATCTTCCAAATTTTTCAAGATATTTGCATGGATAAATTAAAATGGGACACCCTGTATATACTTATACATAACACATGCATCAGTTTCCACGATTTATCGTATTCTTGGAAGAAAAATGACACAAATAAAAAATATGAAATTGGGTTCAGAAGAGGAGAAAGAAAATTGCATATTTTAAAATTATTTATTATGGCAATATTAAACATAAGTTAACTAAGAGCTAATGATAGATTGCTTGTTTCAAGTTCCTTAGACGTAACGTAGGTTAATTTTGTTACGATATTGCGTTACTTTTAAAAATTATTCATATTTGTGTCATTTTTCCCCTGTATTATGTTTCTTTGAGATGTATTTAGATTTTTCTTAATTAAAGGCCATATTTAGAATACAATCTGTATAATATGAAATTCAAAAAATTTGACTTGTGTGATTTTTCTTACACAGGTACAATATGTAATTTGCATTGGTATTTTATTGATATTTTATGTAGAAATTGTCATATGCTCACGATACTCATTGATTTAGAATTTAACGTGCGTGCGTGCGTGCGTGCATTCGTGTAAAAATTGCGTGAAAGGACAATGTTCAGTCCTCCTTGTCTAAGACTGCACATACGATATTTGTTTTTCTCTGTATAATTCATAGTATACGTAATTTGGAAACATTCATAATTGGAGCCGTCGAAATATTCGGAACAAGTTTATTGCCACAGTTGTAAAATAATTAAAATTTGCAGCGACCAGCAGGTACAAGTTTTACAGATAGTGTAAAATATGTTTAAATTGTATCGCGATTACAATGTACATACCTACGCAGGGAAAAATTGTAATTATTTTATGTATACGCAATTGTAAATATAATAGTGCATCGATAATGTTGTACCGACAATATGAAAATATCCAAGAGAAATTTGATTTAATTGAAAATTTAAGTTAATCATCATCAAAGATTATCATAAGAGCATGAGCTGACATAAGACAGCATCATAAAACATAGAAACAAAGCATATGTATTTTAAATTACATTTATTCGTTTTACGTTTTACTTTAGATGAATATAATTTATTGTTTTTTTTTTTATTCCTTTAATTATGTATGTATATGTATATATGTATATATACAGATTGTTCCCGAATGTTCTAGGCACTTTGAGATTTTATTTTGAACAAAAAGTTTCCTATAAGTCGAAAAATGCTTCCTTAAAAAGTTAGCTCCCAAAACCTCTGAAATCACGATTATTTATACATTTTTACAAATGTCAGAGAAAGTATATGTTTTTTAACAAAAATTACTAAAACAAAAGTTGTACTGAATTAAATTATCTTTTAAATGAGATTAAAATGATTATGATACGTTTTATAGGTTTTGAGATAACCAATATCAAAAAGTGTTCCTCGGCTATCGACAGTAAAGCTTTTTTAAAAATACTCTGATTTTTTCTGTAAAATTTAGTTTCTTTTTTCTACTCTTCTTTTTATTCTCCAATAATGTATAAAGAATAAGCATAAATATAAAGAATATCTTTAAAAAAGTTCTACTGTCGATAATAGAAAAAATACTTTTATACATTTGAAATTATCTCAAAACGGAATGTTGATACTACAATCATTTTGATCTCATTTGAAAGATAATTGAATCTTCTACAACTTTCGCTTCGATACTTTTTGTTAAAAAACGCACACATTGTGCCCCTGATATCTGTAAAAATATGTAAAACAATTGTGATTTCAGAGATTTTTCGGACGCAAACTTTTTAAGGAAGTATTATTCGACTCATATGTATCGGAAACTTTCTTTTAGAGTTAAATTTCCTATAAAATCTGAAAATCTGGTCAAAGACGTTGGAAGACACTCTGTATATATGTATACATATATACAGGGTGTCCGGTGAATGTCGGTAACATGCTTAAGTTTGGATCTTCCTTTGTAGGAAGGAAGGGAGGATGAGAGTCGGGGGTGGGAATCGTGCGCAGAGAGGAGGGGAGATGAGAGTCGCTTCGCATGGAAACTGGAAAGTCGTGCGTCCCTTGGCAGAAAGCTCCCTGCTTGGGAGCGCGCGATTCTCACCTTCCTTTCTCCCTACAAAGGGCGCACGACTCTCACCCCCGACTTTCATCCCTCTTCCCCCTGTAAAGGGGCGCGCGACTCTCCCCCCTCCTCCCCTGAAATATAATATTTTTAAAGTGAAATATAGGCAAAATGTTATTTATGTGTTGAATAAATATTATGAAAAACGAGAATGATCTCATGTGTTCCAAAGTTCTGTGTATACAAATTGCTTTGTTGATAACTTTTTAACGAATAGCGAGCGACGGAAAAGCTCAATGACCTTGAGGGTCAAGGTCAAGGTCACTCGGAAGTCATTTAGAGCTGACTGTGTAAAGGTGAACATTTACCAATGATTTTGCTGAAAATGAGAAAATGATTTTGCTGAATCTAGTTCATTACACGTAAATTTTGCTGCTAGCAGTCCAGGTTTCTATAGTTAAAGGTTGACTGTTAGTCTACATAAAGTTTCGGGAAAGGAGCTTCTCTGACTTGAACGTGGAGCCAGAACGGAAGTACTGCACCAGGTCGCATCAGTCATCTGAAAGAGTTAAAAAATCGATTTTCCTATTCAAAAAGAATATTGCGAAGGGTTGCTATCGGCTCCGAGAGGAACATCTCGAATTATTTTAAAACATCAACTATAGTTGGAACTTGGAGTCCCGATCCTCGTTTGCGCAAGGAGCCTGCATTGACTCTGGGATTATTGCTTGGAAGGAATTTGACTGATTGTGAGTCAAACGTGTGGCTTTTTCCCCGAAGAAGCTGTCACAGGATCGTTTGATCCAAATTTATCGCATGGTATTGTGATCCTTTACATTGGGTCGGAAATCTAGACAGGGGAATTTTAAGAAGAAAAAGAAAGAATATCTCTACTGGATAGACTCGAAAACCATCGAGTAACAAATTTCAATTTAATCCTACAAGAAAAGTAAAGAAAAATGTGTGCTTCAAAAGGTTAAATTGTGCTCTTGTTTTTATGATAAAAAAAATCATTGATATAATTATAATCTATCCAGTAGAAAAAAACATTGCTCTGTAATCGTGCAAAATTTGAAAGCGATACATTCAATAGTTTTTGTTTTATCACTTCTATTAGATCGAACAATGTTGTTTCGAGAAAAACGCGTTTAAAGTTTCAAGTTTACTTTTTTTATTACTTATATTTACCACGTTAAGGCTTCAATACAATATTCTACATACTTGGGGCTGCCAAATTATGCAAAAAAAATTTTTCAATTTTTTTACCCTAGCAAGGTAGAATGGACCCTTAACATATAGTTACTTGACAAAACTCTTTCTATATCACTGTTTTCAGTCTATTTATCGTTTACAAACATGTATGTGATAAATCGTGAAGATCGTAGTACAGAGTGCATAGTATGACTCTATGCTGAAGATCCAAGGTTTAAATCCATCCAGAACATCAAATTTTATTTGATTGCCACTTCTCGAAAAGCAATGGCAAACCTCCGAGAGTATCTTTGCTGTTTGGATTCGGCGTTAAAAAAGTTGTAGATCAATATCAATGGAAATATGTATGTACATACTCGTCAACACACATGGTAACACGCCTTTAATGCCAAACTCCCTTCTTTCAAAAACCATGTAGAATAGAAAAGATTGAAAGAGGCAGATATCCAGCAATGGACGAAATCAGGTTGATATAGAATATATGTGATAAATATATACAAATTATACACATATGTATTCTTCATGCGATTGGGGTTACAAACATTTATTTGTACAAATCATTGTTAAGGTATGTGCAAACGCAAGATCAAGTATGTAATCTTAGAGTACTTCCATGCTATCTATGTCCACTCCAATATCGAGAAAATCATCGTTATAATCTTGAACCTGTCTTTGTACCAATGGATGTTCAGAATGATCTGGATCATCCGTTACAGGACTGGGTGGTGGATTTGATACGGTGCGATCGGAATCTACTGGCATTCTGTCCATGCCTTCGCCACGTCGCAGTCTTGCTTCTTCTGCGATTTGTCTCGTCGAGAGTTCCGCTCTTGTTAATAAAGCTGGTAAATCCTTTTCAGATCCATCTATAATTTTAAGACAAATTGTAAGTTAATGTTATCTCTCTCTCTCTCTCTCTCTCTCTCTCTCTCTCTCTCTCTCTCTCTCTCTCTCTCTCTCTCTCTCAAAATATATATTATATATATATATGTTATTTTATTTAAAATGAATATTATAATTTACCTTTAAAACTTCTCATTAATTCCTGTTCCCTCTTCTGTCGTCCTGAATCACCAGTTTTCCTTCTTTGTTCGCTGGTCTCTTTTTGGTCATAATAAAATATCTCCCTTATTTTTTCTTGAGGAATATGTTTGTCATTTTTCACCAACCAAAAGTATACTCCACCAGCAGTCCTTCTACGAGATCCATTCATTATTAACATTCCACCATCTTCTTCGATCTTCTTTGTTTTTTGGAAAAAATCAATAGCTTTCTGTTTACCAATTATATCCACCACTCGTTCTACAACAGAAAACAAAACATATGTAAATAAACATTAACTATAAAACGGACTCTTGAAATTAAAACAGAAAGAATCAAACGAGGCTAATGAGAGTACAAGGCATATATTAATTGAATTAAAATCAATTAAAATTGTGATGACATCTTGACAATACAATAAATTTGTAAAGTTTTCATATTACTTTTTGCACACTATTAACTGCATTGTACTCCCATTAGCCTTGATTTTTTTTGTTTTATATTATAAATAAGGTATCTAATATTTATTTAAATGGATTAAACATTTGAGGAGTAGACTTTCAAAATGCGTTTTGTTCAAAATTTATAATTTTCAGAAAACGAGAAAGAAACTCCGCACACAAGAAAATTACACACTTTACAGAAAATAACAATTATATCAATTAGTAGGATGTGAAATATTAAACAAAATTGCTAAACAATTGCTAAAAATGTTAGACAAATGCATTTTGTTTGTCTCTAGTTAAAAAACATAATGCACTTCAAAATGTTTGTTTTTTCAGCATATAAATTACCAATGAAAAAATGCCAGCTAAACATCTTAGAGTAGCTTATAATACGAGTCTTTCAACACTGAACACTACACTGTAGCGTCTCTAACTAAAAAAATGAAATTCTGGACAAAATGCATTTCTGCTCTTCATTTATTATCAGATGCATAAGTCACAAAGATGTTTTTTCACAATCTTATTATAATGTACAACTTGTAATAAAGTAATCAGTTATCATATAATCAAATTGAAACAAGAATTTTCTTAGTTTTAATAAAAGTTACATTTGTGTTATCTCTCTTCTGTGGTTTGATTTGTAAAAAAGAGACATTTTCAGCTTATAATTTAAAAACTACTAATGTTTTCAACATTTTCTGAAATATTTGTATATTTTGATAATATTTTCTTACTTATGAGAAGTTCTTTCCTTTCGCTGAGCTTATTGGTTATGTCAGTAGCGACGTCGGCTTCTGTTGAATCCACAGTTGTAGACAAATCTGCTATTATTCTAACCGAACCTTTTTGATTATCCATGGAGTTTCTCCTTTTTCCTAATCTAAATTTTACATCACGTCGGTCTGAATTTGTTCTTTTATTAGTTAATCTACGTTCGATATCCTTTTCTTCGTCAGAACTATTATTATTACGAGGTTCCCTGCCATTTTCTGCGTATCGTAGAGTAAAATTGTAACTTTCAACATTACGTTCTTGATACAACTTTTTAGTAACACCACATGACGTTAAATCTTCGGTCAAAGATTCTTCCTGCATTTGAGTACACCATACTTTGTATTTATCATTTTTGGTTGGCAAATCCTTCCACAAATGCTTATTCTTTTTCAATTTAAGTTTTGGTTTTTTAACATTAGTCTGTATGGAATCCGAGTCAGAATCACTTTCAGAATCTGCAGAGTGATCAGATTCATCACTGTATCTCATTTTTGTACATGTGTCTGTGACAGGTATCTGCTTTATGTGAGGTCTTTGTAAAATTTTATAAGTTTCAAAAACATCGCTGGGCTATATAAAGAAATAAAATAATCATTAAAAAAATATATTTGTTAATGCCAAAGCAAATTTATGTTATACAATGATATATAAGAGAGGATAGTGAAAGTATAAAATTAACATTGTGCGATGTATTGTATTATGGAATCTTTCCAGCTAGGAGACACAATTAAGCATAGTATCAGGAATACTATGTAAAGTTATTTGTTTCAAAGGGCTATTAAATTTTTATAACACACTACAATTTTGTATCTTTTCTAAATAGTTAATAGCCAAGTATTTGACACATAAACCTTTATTTTAGCAACGAATACATACTCATACATGGTATGACACAGTATCAACTTGCAGTTGAAACGATGCTTAATCTTTTTACCACTATAGTGAAATAAAGGAAAAGTCTCATGCATGTATGTCAAAATATTACCAAATGTAATCTTGAAAATTCTCATCGGAACATCACTCTTAGAAAAATAAATGATAATGAAATATAAAAATTCTGCATCGTGAAGTGATATAAAAATGACACAAACAGCATTTTAGGTGTATACAATTATGTTGACTTGTTATAGTTGGAAAACACGAAATCATACACTGTGTTACACAATGTTGCCAGTGTCCCTTACTGAAAAGCTCTCTATATAAGTAACAAAACATGATTTGGATTATACAACGATACTGTACTTCGTTTATCTCTTCGATGTTTAAAACTTAGATATCTAATGAATACACTTTGGTAAACGTTACAAATTTATTTAGACATTCGAAGAAATAAAAGTTAAGATTACTTCGTCAACGCATTGTACTCCGCTTTCCTGTATTTCGTTTTATATTATTGCAATACATTCTACATAGCAAATGTGCATATCTAAACTACATGATAAAAATAATTACATTAATGTAGAAAATGATATAAATTTCAAATTAATAATTTGGAAAATAACATTAGTTTATTGAATATGTAAAAGATTATATTTATATAGGTTACATTAGTATTTTAAATAAAAATTTGTCAGTATCTAACCTCATCGATGATTTCACCATCTTCTAATGGTTCCGCTTCCATTCTCTTTGAGTAGGAAAATTTATCTTTCTCTGTTTCTTTATAATTATAAAAAACGTTTTACAACACACATACGCACGAGTACGCGCATACACTCATCCACGCAAGTTAATGCTCTTTAAATAAAAAAAGAAGAAACTCTATCCCGACGAAGCTTCAAATATTTATCAATGCGTCGTATATATTTCTATCTGATTTTCATGACACAATGGAAAATTTTCATACTATCTGCTTCTCATGGACAACGTCAATAAATTTTTATGTCAAGTCCAAAATTCTGAACGATTAAAGGGATGGTTTCACCGTCTCTGATTAACTCGTCTACTGTAGAACCTGCGTTTCATAAAACACATGCTGCACATAATGATATATAATTTTATTCTTGTTGTTCATCAATTTGTTCACCGAATATTAAACAATAGTTCTCTGTTCGCGTTAGGCCCTGCGCACAATAGAAAGAATAAGGAATTAGGAATAAACGATTCTAACCTATCAGAAATCGGATACATCGGAATACACGGTTTCTAATAGGTTGAAATCGTTTATTCTTTATTCCTAATTGCTTATTCCTTCTATTGTGCGCAGGGCCTTACTTGCACTTTTTGCACTTAGCATCTACGGTCGGTATTCACAGTCGGTTCTTATTTCAAGACCGTCTTAAGTAATGTCTTAATATGCTAATGCGGCTCTTTTATTGGTTCATAACACCTCAAGGCTGAACTTGAGATGATCTTGAATATAAGAACTGACTATGAATACCGGCCTATGTATTCTCTCTTTTCAACATCCGAATATATATTTATCTCGTTTTAAGTGTAAAAATTACTGGAGATTTCAAGCAATATATATATATATATATTTCAAGCAACGCGAACAGACCTAATGCGGGGTATACAATAGAAGTAGTAGCGGTTGTAGGGTCTTAAGTCGTAGAAAATTGACCAATCACAGTCGAATATGAGAAGAATAATCAACTGTGATTGGTCAATTATCTACGACTTAAGACCCTACGACCGCTACGACTTCTATTGTAGACCCTGCATAAAGCCGGCGGCACATGATGCTTGTTTTTCTTGCTGGATTGCTAGTTAGTTAAGTCCGGATCTATAATAGGTGTTTTAAGCCTTGAGCCATAAGAAATTGACCAATTACAGTCAAATCCGAGGGGAATAGTCGACTGTGATTCGCCCATTTCTTATGGCTTAAGGCTTAAAACCTTATTGTAGATCCAGGGTAAGGCCATCACACGTACAAAAATTTTAGTCGTAATCGTAATGGCGCGGTCCCATGGTGCGGAATTGGTGGAACGATGTCCGTCCAATCACAAGCATTCCGTCAATTGCTCTCCGCCGATATGTCTTTTCTAAACCAATCACGAGCGTTCCGCCAATTCCTCATTGCGCCGATTCCGCATCATGGAATCGCACCGTAAGGCCGTAAGCGAATCAGCTAATCACAATCGAGCATTTTAAAACGCGAGATCGTAATTTTGATTGTGATCGATCGATTTGCTTACGATCTAACGATTACGACTAAAATTTTTGTACATGTGAAGCTGGTTCTACATTAGTCGCATCGCAATGTCGCAAGCGTGTCGCAAGCGTTATGATCCAATCAGTTCGGATCTACAATAGGTGTTTTAAGACTTAAGTCATAAGAAACTGATCAATTACAGTCGAATCCGAGGGGAATAATCGACTGTGATTCGCCCATTTCTTATGGCTTAAGGCTTAAAACCCTATTGTAGATCCGGAGTCAGGGTGCAGTCCTATGGAGCGTATCGCGCGTATCGCGGATCGCGCGTATCGAAAATCTGACCAATCGTGGACGTTCCGC